TTAATCAAACGCTATACAAACCAAAAAGAAAAGAGCTTCGAGATAAAATGTCATCAGTCTTGAAATTTAATCATGAATTAAATTGAAAAGTTTCACTTTCTTCATTTCTTATTAAAAACCGTCATAAACTTCTCTTATATTATGAAAGGGTCATATTTTTTAAGAACACGACAACAAGCGACAGAGTGTCATTATTTAAGAGGATGGAGATCACAATTCTTCGCGAATGTCATTTTCTTCCCGTGTGGGGAGGTCATAATACTTTGACCGGGATATTATTTTCATTAAAAATATAGGTCGGGGATCAAAATTTTATGCGGTCACTTTATTTCGTTACACCGGCTGATGTGGTTGGCACTGGTCGCTTTGATTAAGCCTGGTTAACAGGTGCCCATTTCCTGTATCCATTAAATGTTGCATTCGTAGAAATGATCGCGAATGAATTTAAAATGCCGGATTTTACACCAGTGGGATATTGGAATAATGATAGAGTTAACTTAGATTGCAGTGATCCTAGTAATGAAATATCCCATTTTCCTAACAAGGAGTACATGAGCAGACTAGTTAGCATGAACTTGACTGGAAATGATATACGGACAATTGATAATAGTGCTGCAGAAAATATTGGTGAAGGTGTTCACATTGATATAAGTGGTCAATTATTGAAGTATTTACCTGACTCTTTCCGTAAATTGAATCCAAACAGAATAACATTTGGTATGAATCCAGTTGAATGTAACTGCGACAATGTATGGATAGGAGATTGGATTAGAAATAACCGGGCACATGGAAATCTGAAATGTTCGACAAGTAAAGGTTTGGTTCCAGCTGAAGATATTTCCTCGGAATTCTTAGATTGTCTTGCAACGGTGACAGTTCCTTATTTTGTTCCGGTTCTTCTTGGTTTGGTATTTCTTTTATTGTTTACATTTATTGTGTTATCGTATTATTTTAGATATGAGATTCTGCTCTTGAAACGAAAACTTTTCGATAAAAAAGCTAAACCTGACGACTTTGAATACGATGCAATGTTCTCATTTTCTGAAGACAATATGGAGGTTTTCCGCTGGATTGACGTGGGATCATGCCTGCACTTCGCAGAGAAGGGTACTCGGTTTTTGTTCCGTTTTACGATATCTCGTTTGGCAATAAAAAAGAGGACCATCTTACTGAGGGCATAAATAAGAGCAGAAACTATGTGGTATTTCTCTGTAGCAAATATCTTTGCGATGAAAGCTCTGTTCAAGAATTTGAAATATTATGGAAACAGTTCTATTCGAACGCTTCTAAAAACATTATTGTTGTAAATTTTGACAATTTCTCAAGTTCAGAAATTAAGAATAAGCAATTACGTGCTTTCAGAAGAATTGCAGACGATGTTAATTTCATAGACAGAGAAATAAAAATTTTAGAGCGCATGAAGCAACGTATTGGTCCTCCGCGAAACAAACCTTTGAATGTCATTGTAACTGTTGATGAGTTTCAGACAAGTTCCAAAGATGCCTGTGAGATAAAGAATGATATAGTTGATAAAGAAATGAAAACTGTACAACCCAAAACGGTGCACGAACGTCTTGCGCAACCGAAAAAGACTATATGTAATTGCCGATACAGGAAATGCTATTTATGCGCAACGGATATGAACAGTGAGAGGAAGTTAAGAAATAGTACTTTATCAGTAGGAATAACAAGACATAGATGCTTTGGAAAAAAAACATATCCTATGAACTAAAACCAAATGCTCTAAGAAAGACAGAGGCACTACGCGTTTTGTACCAGCTTGTTTTTAAGGCATCTTTCAATTCGAATTATCACAAATACAAATACAAATTAATCATGCAACGTTTTTGTTCATCTTAAGTCTTTTGTTAAATGCATTCAAAGAAAACTGCTTTTATTTTATTTGTATTGTTTAAATATTGTGTTATTTTTTTTTACTTTAATGGTATAAAGCCATATCTAATGAGAATTTTTTTTTCAATTTGATAAAATAAAGTGACTTTTTTCCATAATCTTATGGATAGAATGTTCCAGAACAAAATATTATGTATATTGCAAAGGTTTAAACCGTTTAGCAATGGTTTTGTGCATGAGCCATCCGCTTTTAAAGAAATATACAAGCATATTTATTTCAGACACCCTGGCATTTTGGAAGTATTTGTTTAAAAATTTCAAACACGAGTGCATGTATTTGTAGAAGACATATAGCTTTATAAACTTCATAGGTATCAACTGTGCTATGTAATATATTTGTGGAAAGCTTTCATTTATTATGTTAAACCAAACGAGTTTGAAAAATCACGTGGTTCTTAATAAAGTGAATTGTCTTGTGAGAATGCGATTTCATGAATTTTGCAGATAAAACGCAGGATTTCTAATGTTACAGTAAGCAATTCTACTGTACTAGAACACGATAAAAAAGTTTCCGCGTCCGGTGTCGCCTGTGATGCTTAACATTGTTTTATTGGATAGAGAATAGAGTCTTGACAATAGTTTTAAACCTTTATTACATTGATAGTAAATTATAATCTTGCAACAAAAATAAATAAAGAAATGAACTCATTTAGGCGTGTTTTATATTCTGGAAATATGATAAAATGAATCTGATTGGCTAATAGTACAAGATCGCTTCAATAAATTTCAATCATCATTGAAGTAACTTTTAGAAATAATATTTCATAGAGATCCGACGAGTGCCGGATAACATAGTTCTAGTTTCCACACATCTTCTACAAACGAAAGAAATGAATTATATGTAGAAATCAGTCATTATTTTCCTTTAAAACGGCATGTTGATTCTATGAGCGGGCACACGCCAGATATTGATCCTCAGTTAACTGGTTTCTTTTTTTTGTGCGTATTTCAAAGCATTTAATATGAAAAACTGATATTTAGAGTTACATGCATGAAAGCCATGAAATGAGAAGCAGAAGAAGAAAAAGAAAAAAATTATCTGCTATAGTGACATGGATACATGCCTAAAGTTTATTCAAATAAAAAATAAACACAGCCAAAAAAACCCGGCCCAATGGACCTAAAAGTCATAGTACATGTATTTTGAAACGTATATAACTCTTGAAAATTAATTTGGTTTAACTTCATGAACTAGTGAATCAACGATTTTAATAGATTTGAGCCGCGTCATGACAAAACCAACATAATGGGTTTGCGACCAACATGGATCCAGACCAGCCTGCGCATCCGCGCAGTCTGATCAGGATCCATGCTGTTCGCTATCAGTTTCCTTACTTGTTATAGATTATGTAAGCGAACAGCATGGATCCATGCTGGTCGCAAACCCACTATGTTGGTTTTGTCGTGACGCGGCTCATTTAAATATTACACCTGCCTTAAATTGTTATCATACTATATCGCAACAAATCCATCGCAATCGGACTTTATAAACTGACACGTTTTTCATTGGGTTCATCTTACCATGTGTAAATAAATAAACTGAGAGAATCAAAAGAATATAATTACCTCTTGACGCTTGATGCCCAAATAATGTAATGAAATAATTGAAAGAACGTAGTTAATACGCCATTTTAATTGCTAATTCACCTTCTTCTCCTTTCAAGTATTTATCATAGTTTTCACAAAAGGTAGTAAAATACAATCACTAAACGGACCACTTTAGGACCAGTACAGAAGTCCGGAATAATAAAGTAAGGATTGCACAATTTTTAACTAACGTATGGTTTTGTTTCGTATATATATAATGTTTAATGTGATTGGCTAGTAGATTTGAATAGGAGAAAAAATAGTTTTCAACAGTTATTTTAATTAAAGAAAATGTTTGTCATGGCAAACGTTGTAAATAAGTAATTTATAAACTCGAGTAAGAATACACAGAATGAATGCGGTATTTCGGTCTAACCTATCCTAAGAAACTTAACATATACACAAATAGTTAATGCTGAGATTTGTTTAATAAGGTTCCTTAAATATATCAAGTAAAATGCCTAATCAAGGAAATTTATAGATATAAAAGTAAACAGTTCATTATTTATATACTTCTAATTATTGTGTCGACCGGTTGACATTAATTCGGATTTGTTTATAATTCTATATCAGAGGGTATTTGTAAATTGATTATGATTCTCAGACATATTTTCAATCATAATTTTACTGGAATTGACTTTATTTTCTTTTGGATGTCAAAATATATATAAAATATAACTTTATACATTTTCAAAGATTACACTGTTTTTGTTTACATCTAAAAGCACGTGATAGAACTACTTTCAATCCGTCTTAAAGGACTGTGGCCAAGAATGGCATGTTTTTCTGATCTAAATAGATTTCGATACGTATATTACAATAAACACTATAAAAAGTGTTTTAAGTTGTCCTTAGATAAAACAAAAACGTGATTTAGAAAGTCGGTTTTATTTGTTTGGGTCGTCAGAGATCAATGCGTAAAGATTGTCAAATGACAGGCGCATTAATTTTCAAGCAAAGTAGTTCCCGAATGGTCGAAGATTTTTAATATTGTTTAATTCTTTATAGATATACATGCCTACAGTAAGCTCCATGATTATTTACATCTGTGTTAAACAACAGGTTTAGCGTCGAAATAATAAGAGTTACAAACCCTAATTTAGAATAATATGGTTTTCTTCAGGCCGGTAACATATAACTTCACCGTGGCCGAGGGGTTTGCACGCTCGCTTATGAATCGAAAGGTGTGGAGTTCAAATCCCAGTTGAGGCAACTCATTTTTTTCATTTTTTAAGTCAAAAATAAACATTGAATTGACTATCAGTGTTGCAATTAGTCTTATAGCCAATTTACTAAGTTAAAACACTGGAAAGCATTGGTGGCACTATACAAAAACAAATTGGTTTATAATCTCACAACCTTCACCTTTCTGACATTCTGAGACCCAAACAAATTCAGCGCCTTCTGTGCTTTGATTTTGTAACGCGACCACCAATTTAACTGATGACGTAGGACTGTCCCTACCTAATTTTGTTTACCTTCATGTCAGTTATACATACTTAAATATGTAAATGTTTAAATATTTCTCACTAATACATCAAAATATCTATTGTTTTGTGTCATTTAGCGTATTGTACAAGTTTTTGTTTCTAAACAGAGAAAATATCCAAAAGAGGGACAATTTTAAGAAAATACATTTACGTTTATGGAAAAATGAAAATTTTACGTTTATTTGAAGAACTCTCATGTACAACCTAAACATTAAAGATTTCTGATACATACAGTTTTAACTTAGACACTTGAATGTATCGATTATTATTAATAAACTTTTCAATATTAGGCACGTTTTAACTTCAAAATGTAACTCGAATATGAATTTCTCCACGACATTATGAACATAAAACAAGGCCATTATGCAAAAAGTACGGTCTTTAATGTTATGAGATTGGAGAATTTTGATTGGCTCTCCAGCTCGGCCATTATGAATCTGCATGGTTTTGTTTTTTATTACAAAATTCGCCATGTTGAATTGCTGCAAGGTAGATTTCCGAGACATTTTAAAAGCAAGAACCTCACAACAAGAGAATTTCACATTAGTTTTTTTTGTTCACTATGTACTTAACTTTTTTAGATTATGTGTAGTTAATTCATAAAATTGTCATTAATTAAGTGTTTTCATAATGGCCTTGTATTCGGGCTTTGGACCGTTGGCCTCAGGCTTATATGACAGTCTTCAGCCCAATAACAAGGCCGTTATGAAAACACTTAATTAATAACATTATATTTATAAATACCAAACAAATGATATTTTCTGCCATAGTCCAATAATCAGAAAATGCTTCTTTACTGTAAAATATTTAATTTCTCGAACGTTTGTTTATATGTTCAATTATGATATTAACAAATCCCTTTTACATATATTTTACCTCATTATTTAAGATTGAACTCAAATTGAACAATACGAAACCGGTATACCATTTATGCATTAAAATACCGCTTTTCTTTAATAAAACATGTGAAATAGCAAGAAACTTATCAGTTTTGGGAAAAATATAATCATAGAGTACAAGATCAAATGAGTATAGCTGGTGATAGGATCGTAACACGTATTTGAGCCGTGTCACGACAAAACCAACATAGTGCGTTTGCAACCAGCATGGATCCACACCAGCATGCGCATCCGCGCAGTCTGATCAGGATCCATGCTGTTCGCTATCAATTTCTCTTCTTGTAATAGGGTTGGTAAGCGAACAACATGGATCCTGATCAGACTGCGCGGATGCGCAGGCTAGTCAGGATCCATACTGATCGCAAACCCATTATGTTGGTTTTGTCGTGACGTGGCTCATATCCTTCAGAAACTGTTTAAAATCGAGAAGGAGCGTTGTACATGAAGACGGCTTTTCCTACTTGCTGTACGCAGCTGTAATTTCATCCATCGAGATATTTCGACGCATCATCTTTATAAATCCTACCGAACATTGATTTACTCTCCAGACTATAGAACTGTCCTCTGAAGTCTAACGGTTAGCATAGAGAACCTACATCGCAGGTTGTAAATTGTTGGCAATGTCAGGTCGTTTAGTAATTCTCGTTGTTAAATATGATTTGCCTGCTTTGACCTTGTCTTATTTAATGGAATGTATCCCCGTTTCGTCACCTTCGATAATGTTAGAAACTTTACTTGTGGAATAAACTGGGTATTTTATGACAATTTCTTGGCCTTTCACAAACACGTTGGCGATTTTGGTCATTGTCTAGATGCGGATTCCATCAAGCATGACTTATTACTAACGTGATGAATGAATATCAAGTCAAATACGCCATAGAATAAGCCCGGTAGCTCGGTTTAATCCCCTATTTCTCCCACAGTGCACATTGCATATTCTTGTAGAAATCTCTGAATGGTGACATTATTCTTCAAACGTTTCCCGGTCAACCTGTTGACGTTGTGTGTGCCAAACGAATATAAAAGAAACAGAATCCCAAAAAATTAAAAGCTCAAATCGAAAAATTAAAAAAGGGTTTGCTTTGTTATTTTTTGAAAAAACCTATTTTTGGAGGGCTAGTGGTATGGAAAAGTATAAGCACCGCCCACCCCCCTAGCACCGTTTAAAAGCATTTTCACATTTACACATGTTTAATTTGGGGTTTTTAAAAATTTGGAAACATCCAGGCATTTGTTCATACGCCGATTATTATGGAATCTTCAATGTGAAGCGTTCCATGCCAGTCATTCCATAACAAGCGTCGTTTGGTACTGATTAAAAAGAATGCGCGACACAATGAGCAATACTAAATTAAACTAATTTTTGGAAGGGGATCAGAGGTTAAGAGGTTAAGCTTTTAAGATCTTAAAGAGGCAACATGTTCACATGTTGGTTAAACGGTATTC